TGTGGGTTGGGGACCAACCCAGGGTGTGGAGGACCAAATGTGGGTGTGGAGGACCCGACCCAGGGGTGTGGGGGCCAGACTGTGGGGGGGAGGACCGCCGAGGGGGTGGGGGGCCAACCCAGGGTGTGGAGGCCCGACCGAGGGTGTGGAGGACCAGATGTGGGTGTGGAGACCAAGGGGTGTGGGGGACCAACTGTGGGGTGGGGGGACCAAATGTGGGTTGGGGGAGGACCAGAGTGGGGGTGGAGGACCAACTGTGGGTGGAGGACCAGATGTGGGGTGGGGACCCGATGTGGGGGTGGAGGACCAGACTGTGGCTGTGGAGGACCCAAACCCAGGGTGTGGAGGACCAGACCCAGGTTGGGGAAAAGATTGTGGGTGTGGAGGACCAGACCCCAGAGTGTGGACAAAACTGTGGGTGTGGAGGACCAATTTTTGGGGGTGGGGGCCAACTGTGGGTGTGGAGGCCGACTGTGGGTGTGAAGCCAGGGGGGTGGGGACCCGACTGTGGGTGTGGGGCCATGGGGTGTGGGGACCCTGTGGGTGTTGAGGACCAAATGTGGGTGTGGGGGACCCCCACTGTGGGTGTGGAGGTCCGACTGAGGATTGGGGGACCAGACTGTGGGGGTGGATGACCAGACGTGGACGTGGGACCCGACGGGATGTGGAAGACCAACTGAAAGTGTGGAGGCAGACTGTGGGGGTTGGGACAAGATGGGGTGTAAAAGACCCGCTGTGGGGGTAGAAGACCGAGTGGGTGTGGAAAGGCCCGACTGTGGGTGTGGAGGTCCCAAAGTGGGGGTGGAGGACGAGACGGGGTGTGGGGAAAACCCCATGAAGGTGTGGGGACCAGACTGGGGTGTGAAGGACCGACGTGGGTGTGGAAGACCGACTGAAGGTGTGGAGGACCAATTTGGGGGGTGGGGCCCGGTGGGGGTGGGGACCAGACTTGGGTGCAGAGGACAGATGTGAGTGTGGAAGACCCCACTGTGGGTGTGAAGGACCAGACTGTGGGTGTAGAGGATCAGATGAGGGTGTGAAGGACCGACTGTGGGTGTGGAAAAAACCCCGACTGAGGGTGGGAGGGACCAGACTTTTTGGGTGTAGAGGATCGCTGGGGTGTGAAAGGGCCAGACTTGGGTGGAAGACCCGAATGAGGGTGTGGAGACCAGAGTTGGGTGGGGGGACCAGACTGTGGGGTGGAACCAGACTGTGAGTGTGGAAGACAGACTGTGGGGAGAGGACAATGTGGGTGTGGAAGACCAGATGGGGTGCGGGACCCGATATGGGGGTGGAAGACCAGATGAAAGGGTGGAGGACCCAAATGTGGGTGTGGAGGACCCGATGTGGGTGTGGGGGACCAATGTGGGGTAGAGGACCCAAATGTGGGTGTGGAAGACCAACTGTGGGGGACGAGGCCCGATATGGGGTGGAAAACAGACTGAAGGTGTGGAGGACCCGACTGTGGGTTGGGGACCGACTGGGGGTTGGAGGACCAGAGTGGGGGTGGAGGGCCAAATGTGATGTGGAGGACCGACTGTGAGTGTGGAGGCCGACTGTGGGGTGGAGGGCCCGATTGGAAATGTGGAAAAACCACGTGGGTTTGGAGGACAGACTGGGGTGTGGAGGACCAGAGTGAGTATGGAGGGCCGGATGTGGGTGTGGAGGATCAGCTGTGGGGGGTGGAGGACAGACAGTGGGTGGGAGACCAACTGTGGGGGTGGAAGACAACTGTGGGTGTGGGGACCAGACGTGGGGGTGGAAAAATCAGATGTGGGTGTGGGGGACCGATGTGGGTGTGGAGGACCCGACTGTGGGTGGGAAGAGGATTGAGTGTGGGGACCAAATGTGCGTGTGGGGACCCGATGAAGGGGGAGGACAAGACTGTGAGTGGGGGAAAACCCGCGGGGTGTGGAGGGCCCAAAATGTGGGGGTGGAGGAAACTGTGGGTGTGGAGGACCCGATTTAGGGCGTTTAGGCCAGAGTGATGTGGAAACCCGACGTGGGGTTTTGGGGATCAGACTGTATGTGTGGGGACCGCGTGGGTATAGAAGATCAGATTTAGGGGGTGGGGACCAGACTGGGTGGGTGTGAAGACCCTTGTGGGTGAAGAGGACCAGACTGGGGTGTGAGGCCAGCTGTGGGGGTTTTGGGACCAGATTGGGGTTTTAGAAAAATCAACTGGGTGTGGGGACCAGATGTGGGTGAAAAGGACCGATGTGGGTGTGGGGTACCAGACTGTGGGTGTGGAGTACCCGACTGTGGGTGGGAGTACCAGACTGTGGGTTGGGATACCAGAGGGGTGTGGAGTACCCAAATGTGGGTGTGGAGTACCAGACTGGGGTGTGGGGGACAAGACTGTGGGTGTGGAGGACCCGACTGTGGGTGTGGGGATCAGACTAAGGTTGTGGAGGACCGATGTGGGTTTTGGAAGACCCGATGTGGGTGGGGGACCAGATGTGGGTGTGGAGGACCCCGATGGGGTGTGGAGGACCAGGGTGTGGGGTGGGACCAGACTGTGGGTGTGGGAGGACCAGATGAAGGTGTGAGGAACCCGATGAGGGTGGGGGACCAAATGTGGGTGTGGGGGACCAGATGGGGTGTGGAGGGCCCGACTGTGGGTGTGGAGGACCCAAATTTAGGGCGTTGAGGACCAGAGTGGTGTGGAAGACCAAGTGGGTGTGGAGGATCAGATGTATGTGTGGGGGACCAACGTGGTTAAGGTCGATTGAGGGTGTGGAGGACCGACTTGGGTGGGAAGACCAGACTGTGGGGAAGAGGACCGACTGGGGGGTGGGGGACCCGATGGGGTGTAGAGGACCCGACTGTGGGGTAGAAGATCAACGAGGGGGGTGGAGGACCAAATTTTGGGGAAAAGGACCAATGTGGGTGTGGAGTCCAACTGTGGGGGTGGATACCAGACTGTGGGGGGGGATACCAGCTGTGGGTGTGGAGCCAAAATTTTTTTTTTTATACCCTTTAAACCCCCAATTTTTAAACCGACTGTGGGTGTGGAGGCCAGACGTGGGTTGAAAATAAGGGGGGTGTGGGACAGATGTGTGGAGGACAATGTGGGTGGGGGAGGACCAGGGCTGTGGGATGAAGATCAAAAGAGGGTGTGGAGGACCCGACTGTGGGTGGGGGACCAGCTGTGGGTGTGGGGACCAGACGTGGGTTGGGGGGGCCCGATGAGGGGTTGGGAAGACCAGATGTGGGTGTGGAGACAGACTGTGGGTGTGGGGACAGAAGGGGTTGGAAAACCGATGGGGGGGGGCCGAAATGTGGGTGGGGGGGACCAACTGTGGGTGTGGAGGGTCAGCTGGGGTGGAAACCGACTGTGGGTGTGGGGCGACGTGGGTGTGGGGACCCAAAGTGGGTTGGAGGACCCAATGGGGTGGGAGGGCCCGATTGGGTTGAAATCAGACTGGGGTGTGGAGGACCAGCTGTGGGTGGAGGACAGATGTGGGTGTGGAGGGGCCCGACTGTGGGGATGAAAGTCAGACTGAGGGTGTGGGGACCAGACTGTGGGGGGGAAAGGGGAAGGGGGGCCGGGCTGGGGTGTGGAGGCCCCCCAGACGTGGGTGTGGAGATCAGACTGTGGGGGTGGGACAGACTGGGGGTGTGGGAAAACCGATGTGGGGTGTGGAGGCCAATGTGGGTGTTTGGGGGGCCAGACTGAGGGGTGGAAGCCAGATGTGGGGGTGGAGGCAACTTTGGGGGGGTGGGGGACCCGACTGTGGGGTGGAAGACCCGGGCTGTGGGTGTGGGGGCCAAACGTGGGTGTGGGGGGACCAGCTGTGGGTGTGGGGACAGAAAGGTTTTGGGGGCCAATGTGGGTGTGGAAGCAGGTTTTTGGGGGTGGAGGACCGATGTGGGTGTGGATGACCAGACTGGGGTGTGGAGGACCAGATGGGGTGTGGAGGACCAGACTGTGGGTTGTGGGGTGGAAGGACTTGGGGTGTGGAGGGCCCGACGTGGGTGTGGAAGGAAGATGTGGGGGGTGGAGGACCCCTGTGGGGGTGGAAGACAGATGTGGGGGTGGGGACCCGATTGGGGGGGGGGGGGAACCCGACTGTGGGTGTGGGAAGTGTGGGTTGGGGGAAGAGGGGGGGGGGCTGAGGGGTGAGGACCAGGCTGTGGTGTGAGGGCAGAGTGGGTGTGGAGGACCAACTGTGGGTGTGAAGACAAACTGTGGGTGTGGTGGACGGAGGGGTGGAAGACCAGCTGTGGGTGTAGAGGACCAGATGTGGGTGTGGAAGACAGCTGGGGGGGAGTTTTTGGGGGACAGGGAATGGGGGTAGGACCAGGGGTGTGGGGGTGGGGGAGGGACCAGACTGTGGGTGTGGGGGGACCAATGTGGGTGGGGAGCCAAAGTGGGTGTGGTGGCAAAATTTAGGGGTGGAGACCAGGTGTGGGGTGTGAGGCCAGATGTGGGGGGTTAAAAATGGGTGTGGGGACAATTTAGGGGGGGAAGGGGCCAAAAGTTGGTGAGACCGCTGTGTGTGGGAAGACAAATGGGGGTGGGGGACCAGCTGTGGGGGTGGAAGAACAGCTGTGGGGGGTGGAGGGCCAACTGTGGGTGTGGAAAACCCAAAAGGGGTTGGAAGACAGCTGTGGGTTTTTGGGGGGCCCAACTGTGGGTTGGAAGACAGACTTGGGGGGTGGTGACCCGACTGGGGTGGGGAAGACCAATTTTTTGGGGGTGGGGGACCGATGTGGGTGGGGACCAAACTGCGGGGGTGGGGACCAGTTGTGGGGGTGAAGAAGCTGTGGGTGTGGAAGCCAGATGGGGTGTGGAAGACGACTGTGGGTGGAAGACCAGACGTGGGTGTGGAAAAACCCGATGTGGGTGGAGACCAGATTAGGTGGGTTTGGGGGCAAATGTGGGGTGGGAGGGCCCAAATTTAGGGGGTGGAGGATCGACGGGGGTGGGGGACCCGATTTGGGGGTGGAGGGCAGAGTGGGGGTGGAAAAACCAGTGGGGGTGGAGGACCGACTGTGGGTGTGGAGGACCAGATTGAGGGTGTGGAGGATCAGACTGTGGGTGTGGAAGACCAGACTGAGGGTGTGGAGGACCAGACCGTTGACATGAAATACCTTACCATGGGCGTTGAGAACCAGACCATGGGCGTGGAGGACCGAAAAATCGGCGTAGAAGACCAGACCATGAGCGTGGAGCCCCCGACCATGGGCGTGGACGCCCAGACCATGGGCGTGGAGAACCAGACCATGGGCATAGAAGACCAAACCATGGGCGTAGAGGCCCAGACCATGGGCGTGGAGGACCAGACCATGGGCATAGAAAACCAGACCATGAGCGTGGAGGACCAGACTGTTGCCGTGCAGGACCAGACCACGGGTGCGCAGCGTTCTGGAGACCTAACCCACAGGGTCATCCTGGACCACATGAACAAGTTCTTGATGCAGTGGACGCCCCGGGAGACACACATCGTCATAGAACTTCAGGTCAGCAGTCTTATTTATGCTCTGAACTATAGATACATTACACTCCTTACTTTTATATTATCTACGATGGTGCATACAGTGTGTTACTTGCCTGGTATAATGTAAGTAATCTTGTTTGTGTCTGGCATGGCGCAAATATCTTCAATACCAGTACAGGAGGACCCTGCTTATACAGCAGGTTAGGCTCCCAGCTACTGCTGTACAGGAAGGCCCTGCTTATACAGCAGGTTAGGCTCCCAGCTACTGCTGTACAGGAGAGCCCTGCTTATACAGCAGGTTAGGCTCCCAGCTACTGCTGTACAGGAAGGCCCTGCTTATACAGCAGGTTAGGCTCCCAGCTACTGCTGTACAGGAAGGCCCTGCTTATACAGCAGGTTAGGCTCCCAGCTACTGCTGTACAGGAAGGCCCTGCTTATACAGCAGGTTAGGCTCCCAGCTACTGCTGTACAGGAAGGCCCTGCTTATACAGCAGGTTAGGCTCCCAGCTACTGCTGTACAGGATTATTGTTTTAATTTACGATATGTATTACAAGTAGAAATAAGTTGAACAAATATGTAGGTAGGAGAGGTTGAGTTTGAGAAAGACTTACCTAACATAAGCCAGTAGGCCTGCAGCAGTGCTCCTTTATTCTTATATTCTTAACTCAGAAAACAGTTGGGGCTTGAACCCATCGTAGGTTAGCCTTAAGTCTCGGAGTCTAGTCTGCTAACCACTGTATAACTGGTTCCACTGGTTAACACACTGGCCTCCCATATGTTATACTCGTTATAGGTTCGAATCCTTCTCGTTCCATGATTTATACAAATACAAATTTTATTTTTTTTGCAGAGGTTATAATGTGTGATTTACAATTTATAAAGTGTTGTTAAGCACAGTTAGTTTAACATGTTTATTATGCAGCCCATACCCATCCTGTGGGTGGTAACATTACAGAGGTAGATAATGGGTCCAGGAACTGGACCATAAAGTTTTGATAGCTGAATAAGGTACAAAGGTAATGAACTCACAAGCTACAAAGATAATGAATCATGTAAGTAAGTAAATTTACTTACTTTTATACATGGCTACAGTCATGAACAAATTATAGAGTAATGAGCAATTCACACGCCCACACCCGGTCATAACTATGAGTTATTGGTGCAAATATTAATTGTTGTGTTACACACACACACTCACACACACACACACGCACACACACACACACACACACACACACACACACACACACACACACACACACACACACACACACACACAGAGCACAGGACGAAAGGAAGACAATGAAAGAGAGAGTTCAAAAACGAAAGGAGAAATGGGAGGAAATGAAAAAGGAGAGCAGAATAACCCAGGATCAAATGGAAGGAAAAGCGCACCCCCCAGAAACACCTGCAGAAGGACTCCAGCCACGACACCCCGAAGGCAACTGAACAATCCAAACCAACCATCACACACCAATCCCTCTGTTTCCACCCCCCGCACCACAGTTTACAGTATTAGAACAGAAGTTGAAGGTTTGTACACAAATGCAGATGGATTAACGAATAAACATGAGGAATGGCAAGAAAGAATCAATGAGAAGTCCCCAGACATCATAGCAGTTACAGAAACAAAACTCACGGAGACAATAACAGATGCAATCTTCCCACCAGGATACCAAATCATGAGGAAAGATAGAAGGGGCAGGGGGAGAGGTGGGGTTGCTCTGCTCGTAAAAAACAGATGGAAATTCGAGAAAATGGAAGGAATAGATGAGACGGGAGAAGAGACTACATAGCAGGTACACTTCAGTCTGGGGAACACAAAGTGGTCATTGCAGTGATGTATAATCCACCACAGAACTGCAGGAGGCCAAGAGAGGAATATGAAGAGAGCAACAGAGCAATGGTGGACACACTTGCTGAGGTGGCAAGAAGAGCTCACTCCAGCAAGCAAAGTTGCTGGTTATGGGGGATTTCAACCACAGGGAGATTGACTGGAAAACCTGGAGCCACATGGGGGGTCCCGAAACATGGAGAGCCAGGATGTTGGACGTGGTGCTGGAAAACCTCATGCACCAACATGTTAAGGACACTACCAGAGTGAGAGGGGAGGATGAACCAGCAAGATTGGACCTTGTGTTCACCCTGGGCAGCTCAGATATTGAGGACATCAAGTATGAGAGTCCCCTAGGAGCTAGCGACCACATGGTTCTGTGCTTTGAATACATAGTAGAGATGCAAGTGGAGAGAATAGCAGGAGTTGAATGGGAAAAGCCTGACTACAAAAGAGGGGACTACATAGGGTTGAAGAACTTCCTGCGGGAGTTCCAGTGGGACAGAGAACTGGCAGGAAAGCCAGTAAATGAAATGATGGAATATGTAACAACAAAATGCAAGGAGGCAGTGGAAAGGTTTATTCCCAAGGGCAACAGTAACAACGGGAAGACCAGAACGAGCCCCTGGTTTACCCTACGGTGTAAGGAGGCAAAAACAAAGTGCAATAGAGAATGGAAAAAGTACAGAAGGCAGAGAACACACGAAAATAGGGAGATCAGTCGCAGAGCCAGGAATGAGTACGCACAGGTAAGGAGGGAGGCCCAGCGACAGTATGAAAATGACATAGCATCGAGAATCAAGACTGACCCGAAACTGTTGTATAGCCACATCAGGAGGAAGACAACAGTCAAAGACCAGGTGATCAGATTAAGGACAGAAAGTGGAGAACTCACAAGAAATGATCGGGAGGTATATGAGGAGCTGAACAGGAGATTTAAGGAAGTTTTTACAGTAGAGACAGGAAAGGCTGTGGGAAGACAGCACAGAAGGGAACATCAAGAGGGAATATACCAACAAGTGTTGGATGACATACGAACAACTGAGGAGGAGGTGAAGAAGCTCTTAAGTGACCTTGACACCTCAAAGGCGAAGGGACTGGACAACATCTCCCCATGGGTCCTTAGAGAAGGAGCAGAGATGCTGTGCGTGCCTCTAACCACAATCTTCAACACATCCCTTGAAACTGGGCAACTACCTGAGAAATGTAAGACAGCTAATGTAGTCCCCATATTTAAGAAAGGAAACAGAAACGAGGCACTAAACTACAGACCTGTGTCTCTGACATGTATTGTGTGCAAAGTCATGGAGAAGATTATCAGGAGGAGAGTGGTCGAACACCTGGAAAGGAATAAGATTATAAATGAAAACCAGCATGGGTTCATGGAAGGCAAATCTTGTATCACAAACCTCCTGGAGTTTTATGACAAGGTAACAGAAGTAAGACACGAGAGAGAGGGGTGGGTAGATTGCGTTTTCCTAGACTGTAGGAAGGCCTTTGACACAGTTCCCCACATGAGATTAGTGCAGAAGCTGGAGGATCAGGCACACGTAAAAGGGAGGGCACTGCAATGGATAAGAGAATACCTGACAGGGAGGCAGCAACGAGTCATGGTACGTGAAGAGGTATCACAGTGGGCGCCTGTTACGACGGGGTCCCACAGGGGCAGTTCTAGGACCAGTGCTATTTTTGATATATTGAAACAAGATGGGGAAGGAAAAGCTCTGAAGTGCCCCTGTTCGCAGATGACGTAAAATTTGATGAGAAAAACGGCGAGGATGAGGCGGACTGCAAAGAGACCTGGAAAAGGGACTGGGGTCCAAAACTGGCTTTCGAATTCATCTACCCCAAATGAAAGTATGAAGATTGGGGGAAGGGCAAAGAGGCCCGCGACAAAAAAAATATGTTTAGATGGCCAAAGTGAAAATTCACTCAGGAAAAAAAGATCTGGGGGGTGAGTATAACACGAGCTATCCCCGAGGGACATAAAATCGGAAAATGCTGCACTGGGGCCCCTGGCAAACCTACGGATAGCTTTCCCGATACCTCGCAAGGATTCTTTAAAGACTTGTTACCTTTACGTCGGGCCCCATACTGGAGTATGCGCACCATTTTTGGAAAATCCACCCTAGTCAAGCCGTCAAGAATTAAAAAGGGTAAAAGGGTTTTGCAACAAGACTAGTCCCAAGCTACGGGGATTTTTACGAAAAAAGGGTTTTGAGGGAAATGGCCCCCGACGAACTGGAGGACAGGAGGGCGGGGGGAGACATGATAACGACATATAAAAAACTGCGGGGAATGACAAGGTGGACAAAACGGGATGTTCCCAGGAGGGGACACAGACCAAGAGGTCAAAATTTGGAAGTTGAAGATCAGATGAACAAAGGGATGTTAGAAAGTATTTTCTTCAGCATAGTGGTCAGGCCGGGGAATGGCCTAAAAGTGAAGTAGGGAGGGGGGAAACCATATATATTTTTTAAGGCGGGGTATGATAAAGCTCAGGGAGCGGGAAAAGAGAGAGGCCCTAGTAGAAATAGTGAAGAGGGGGGGGCCAGGAGTATGAATAAACCCCCTGCAACCACAAATAGGTGGTAAAAATGGGAGTCCACTCCCAGTCACCATCCCCACCATACACACTCCCGTCACCATCCCCCACCAATTCCCTACCGTCCCATCACCCCCATCACCTACCAGTCCCCTCCCCATCATACCATACAGTCACCATCCCCCCTTCCATACCAGTCACCATCCCTCATCCCACCCCCGTCCCATCACCACCATCACACCCAGTCCCCCCACCATCACACTCCCGTCACCATCAACACCTAACACACCAGTACCATCCCCATCATCACACACCGTCACCATCCCCCCTATATCAGCCCCTCACACCATGCCCTACCAGTCCCCATCACCCCAACACACTACCAGTCACCAACACACCACACACACTACCATCCCCTCACCACCCACACATACCGTCCCCCACACCACCACACACCTGCCAGTCACCATCCCCACCACACACACTCCTCACCATCACCCCCAACACACTACAGTCACCCCCCACCAAAACCCTACAAGAGGTTACGCAAAAGTAGAGGATCGGCCACATAACAGGAAAGGCACTAAAAAGGATCGGGTTTATGACAGGGGGGGAAACAACGAGTCTGGACGTGCGAGGTGT